TTCCTTCCTTCCTTTCCGTCCTTAGCCTTCCTTCCTTCCTTCCTTCCTTCATTCCTTCCTTCCTTGCGTCCCTTCTTCCTTCCTTGTTCCTTTCCCTCCTTTCTTCCTTCCCTCCTTTTTCCCCGCTCTCCGTCCTTCCTTCCTGATAGTTTCTTTTTTGAGTCAAATTTAATTTGTTTATTGATCCAGGATTATTTCTTTGATCCAAATGTAATTCTGTTTGATCCTTATCCTTTGTGCCACCGGCACCATCCATTGGATGAGCCGCTCTGGAGATGGACCGTTCGCTGCATCATACTGTTCGGGCATTGGCGCCCGGCTACGTGATGCTACGTGCATCCGCCTCCAGAAACCACACTGCTATAGTTCTTATGTTCTGTCGGCGCCCGCGATGCAGCAGCTTATCAATCAACACCCGCAAACCACTTACTGTGCACACCATAGTGCAGAATCTCGTTTGACGCTATGGGTGCACTCATGCCCCAGTCCGTAACCATAGGCCACATCAATTGCGGACCTGTCCAGGCCACGGTTTTGCAACCACTGCTTGCACGCAGCATGCACGTTGTGGTTGCCTTCGTGGCTTTTGCTTACAAACAAGGACGTGGGCCCCCCGATGGCTCGCTGAGTAGCCTCAGGTCGTCGGTATGGAAGTGTCGCCGTTTGCGTTTAGAGCCTTCGTTCCGGTATTCGCAGAAACACCCTTCCATAACCCCGAAACCCTAAACCCTTAAACCCGAAGCCCTAAACCCCTAAATCCCTAAGCCCACATAAACCCTACTAAACCCTAAAATGCCGACAGAACTGTGAAGGAGGGTAAAGCCTCCCGGTATACGAGGACTGTAGTGACATCTCTGTCGTCAATCAGTAAAGAAGGACCCCAAGCCCCTCACCATTCAGACCGCTCTGCTCTTTCTTTTGGTCTGTCCTAGCAGGTCTGGGGGGGTACCGCCACAGGAGGGTGTGGGGCGCCAGGACCCCCGCCAGAACGGTTGTTCGTTGGAAACCCTGGCTTCTCGTCGAGTGGCCGGCACAGGCCGCGACGACCCACAACTCGGCACCAATCCATCTCGGCTGTGGTTAGCTATGAAATGTGGTCGTGTATGTGTCGAACAGAGAAGGGAAGCGAAAGCAAGAAGGGGGGTGAACCCTAAACTTTAAACCGTAATTGACTGATGGGGGTGGTTGGGGCGGGACGACATGCTGACGCAAGCGCGCGACAAGTGGGCGCGCCCCCCATTCCTAAAGACGCAACCACCACACGCACACTGTATCTGCACCCTATAAACCGTAAACCCAAAGACCTACGGGGCTGGCTTGGTGTAGGCCATGACCAACAGGACCAACACGCTTCGAAACCAAAACTCAACCCTTGGAGGGTTTAGGGCTTATAGGGGTTTTGGGTTACAATTACTTGGGCACTGCCGCCACCCTGTAACAGTTTGTGTTGGGGGGTCAAGATAGGGGATATGTACGAGTATATAATGATAGTTCTATAACTGCTACAGAGTGGGGGCAGTACCCAAAGATACCCTAAACCCTAAACCCCTAAACCCCTAAACCCTAAACCATTAAACCCTAAACCCCTAAACCCTAAAACCCTAAAACCCTAAACCCTAAAACCTAAACCCTACCCACAGTGTTGCAATGACTGTTGTTCAATGCTACGCGGGCTGTCGCATCGTTCGTAGCCCTCAGCCAGGCCCTCCACACTCCCAACCCATAATTGAACCTAAACCATAAACCCTAAACCCTAAACCCTTAAACCCTAAACCCTAAACCCTAAACCTTAAACCATAAATCCTAAACCCCAAACCCTTCGTCATGTTCCATAGCTGAAACAACTTCTCGAACCCTGAAAGTATGCCTTACAGAACCCTGATAGATTCCTTGAAGGAATCCTTCAAGCAGCCCGGACTCACCCCTGAACCCCAAAAGTTCAATTCTGTGTCCTAACCCTAGATTATCCCTGTACTAAAAAGGCCCCCCCCCGAACACTCCTAAGCACTAAACCCTAAATCCCTAAACCGTAAATCCCTAAAGCGTAAACCCCAAACCCTTAAACCCTAAATCCCGAAACCCTAAACTACATCCCTAAATCCCTAAACCCTTAAACTCAAATCCCTCAACCCTAAACCCTTAAGTCCCTAAATCCCTAAACCCTTAAACTCACATCCCTCAACCCTAAACCCTTAGTCCCCAAATCTAAACCCCAAGCCCTGAACCGTCAATCCCTAAATCCCTAAACCCTTAAACCCTTAAACCCTAAACCCTTAAACCCTAAACCCTAAATCCCTAAACCGTAAACCTAAACCCCAAGCCCTGAAAGCCCCGGGTCTGATTATTTCGTTCCCAAGGGGTCCGCAGCAGCTTGCGCTCGCTGATGCGCAGACATGCTCTGATGTCTCAAGAAAGCCTCGGTTTCGGTTTAGGGTTTAGGGTTTAGGGTTTAGGTTTTAGGGTTTAGGGTAGGGTTTAGGATTTAGGATTTAGGGTTTAGGGTTTAGGGTTTAGGGTTTGAAGGGTTTAGGGTTTAGGGCTTGATTGTTCGCGTGGAGGACGGGGGGGAAGGTCCGCATCTTCATCCGATTTGGGGTTGAGCGTGTTAGAGTCTTTGGGGTTCATGGTTGTCGGGCTTGATCAAAGGAAACTACAGGTGGAAACTTTAGGGTATATAGGGCTTCTATAAGCTAGATAGACCTTCTATAAGGCTCCTATAACGGTAACTACCCACGTGAAACATGTCCTAGACTTGATCTTGCTACGATCCGGTCTCGCGTTTGGGGTGTGGGGGCTCAGTCGGCTTAGTCTCGGCCTCCACACGAAACTTGGGAAGGGACGCGTTCACAATATTGAGAAAAAAGTACTGATACACATACACATGGAACATAAATGTGTGCGTGTATATATATATATATATATATATGTATATGTGATTATGTTACACTCGCAAAGTACAGCCATATGCAGCTACATACAAAAGACAAAGAGACCCGTGTGCCAGTTTGTTTTGAAAGCCTTAATTCCCCAGTAAGCCAGGGAAATAAAAGGTTAAACTTTCAGATTACTACTAGATTCTAAGAACCGAAAAGTTTAAAGTTAAAGGTTGGGTATTGGGGAACTAAGAAGCCCTAAACCTTAAACCCTAAACCCAAGCTGACTGCCGCTCGGCGACGGAGACAACGCTCTGCCCGTCGGAGCGGGAAGGCTCCAAACGCCCGCTGGAAGATCCTTGTGCTCAA